ACTTTAATGAGAAGCTTAATATTAATTACTTACAATGCATTCATGGTTGCATGGATATACAGAAAGACACTGAATAAAATTAAGATAAAGTATAGAACATTCATGTAAATAAAAACTTGCAGATTGGGTAAAAAAATAACACATCAGATGTAACTCTGAAAAGACTTCTTTTGTGGAAGAAAAGTTATTTTAAAAATAGGCAACACACAGACAGAAGCTTATGAGGGAATATGATACTGCAATAACAGTTTACTAACACATAGCTGCTTCTGTCATCACCATTGCACCCAAAAAGGTTTCACGTCTAACTTTCACTTCATATTAAAACCAATTAATTCAGAAACATTTAATACCTTCCAATTTAGTTATTTTCTAAAGTGTGAAATCTAGTGTAGCTGCTACGGAAGAAGCGTGTGAGTTCCAACTATGTACTATAAGACCATGTGGAGAAGGAAGAAAAGCCCTGATATCCTCATGCATAGAATATAATATATAATAAAAAGATGAACTTGAGATTCTAACATATGTCAAAAGTAGAAAGTTGAGCATGGCAAGCAAAATCCAGAAAAATGTGTGTTTCTCTACTTTACTGTTGCTTTCTTTACAGCTAGTCAACATTCATTTAATTGCATCTCCTGGCCCCACCTCTGCACATTACAGGTATCACACAATTAATTGGTTACTTGCGCAGTTTCCTGGGCCATTTGTAAACGTTACATTTTTCTAGTTTTAATCCGGACTGCAGCTGTCACTATATACACGTGGATGTCTGCGGTCTGAATTAAAATTGGCTCCAGTTTAAATTAACTACTCATAATTGAACAAGGATTAAAGTTAATGCAGACTAGGGCAGTCTGCATTTGGTAATTTAAACTGTATTAATTAACATATACATAGAGCATTGTTTTTAGGGGAAAAAAAAACTTTTAGGAGTCCTTAGGAACTCAGATAAGCAGATAAGCATTGTAAATATTGATCTCCACAAGGGAAACTCAGTTAGATCTCTGCAACACAACAGAGGCTATCAGGCACAAAGTAACACTTTTACAAAAGTCAAATGTGCCAACAGAACTTCACCCTGACTACATATCAGGTCAGTTAGGGCTTCTGGAACAACACTTCCTCCATCCACCATAAAACAGGGGAATTGGCCAATAAAGTAGAAATCCTTGATTTGAGGAAAGCTGACTTCCACAAGTTTAGGGGATTGGTTGGCAAAGCCCTGCAGGACTATGGTCTGATGAGGAAGGGGGTACAAGAAGAGTGGTCGAAGGAAGCAATCCTAAAAAGTCAAAGGAAGTCTATTGGAAGGAAGCAATCCTAAAACGTCAAAGGCAGAAAAAGGGCTGGGAAACCCCCTTGGCTCAACAGGGAAGTCATGAACCTCCTGGAATTAAAATGAGAAGCCTACAAGGGATGGAAGTCAGGAATAACTACCCAAGAGGAGTACTCAGCAACAGCCTGCACCTGTAGGGAGTAGATCAGGACAGCAAAAGCACAAACCAAATACAGATTGGCAACCAGAATCAAGGACAAAAAAAGTCTTTCTTTAGATATGTAGGAAGTCAGAGAAAAACATAAGGGAAGCATAGGACCCCTACTGAATAAAATAGAAGGGCTGATAACCGAGACTCCGGACAAAACTGAACTCCTGAATGAATACTTTACATCAGAATTCCACCAGTCCAACGGTGTTAGCCTGCACGACAGGATACAGGATGATCACCCTCCCACAGTTGGCATAGATCTTGTGGGGGAGCACCTACAAAGGCTAAATATGTACAAGTCAGCAGGACCATTTGAACTATACCCGAGGGTGCTAAAAGAGCTGGGCAATGTCATTGCACGACTGATGGCAAAGTTATTTGAAAACGTGTGGTGCTCAGGAGGTCTCAGAAGATTGGAAAAAGGCCAGAGTGGTACCTATCTTTAAGAAAGGGAGAAAGGAGGACCCCGGAAATTACAGGCCAATCAGTTTGATCTCAATCCCTGATAAAATCCTGGAGAAAATTATAAAGGAATCCATTACAGACAGGCTAGCAGAAGGCAGTATTCTGAAGGATAGCTAACATGGCTTTGTTATGGGTAAGTCATGCCAGACCAACCTCATTTTCTTCTATGATCAGGTGACTCACCATCTGGGTGGGGGAAATGAGGTTGATGTCATATACCTAGACTTCAAAAAGGCCTTTAACCTGGTCTCCCACAAAATCCTTATGAAAAAATTGGGAAAATGCGGCCTTAACTACTTTACGGTTCAGTGGCTATGTAACTGGCTCCGTAGTAGGACCCAGAGAGTATTGATTGATGAAACTGAGTCATCATGGTGGAGGGTGAACAGTCGTGTCCCTCAGGGTTCAGTGCTCAGACCAGTGATTTTCAACATGTTCATCAACAATTTGGATTCAGGTATTAGCAGTAAACTAGCAAAGCTCACTGATGACACCAAACTATGGGGGAGTATGGTCATATGCAAAAACAGGCGGGTAATACAGGCCGACCTGGATAGACTCATGAGGTGGGCAGACCTCAACCAGATGTTGTTTAATACAGAGAAATGTAAAGTGATCCATCTGGAGAGAAATAATCCACAACAAATTTACAGGCTCGGCCGTACTACGCTTGCTAGCATGACTTCTGAATGAGACCTGGGTGTTATGAAAGATAACAAAGTGAATATAAGCCATCAATGTGATGCTGTAGCTGGTGAAGCTAATCAAACACTGGCATGCATCTACCAAGGCATCTCAAGCAAGGCTAAGGACGTCATCCTCCCTTTCTACTCGGCCTTGGTGAGATTGCAGCTGGAGTTCTGCATCCACCTCTGGGTGCCACACTTCAGGAAAGATGTGGAGAAGCTCGAGAGAGTCCAAAAGAGGGCCACATGCATGATTAGAGGCCTGGAGACCAGGTCATATGAGGAGAGGCTGAAAGACTTGGGACTGTCCAGCCTGGAGAAAAGAAGACTCAGAGGGGATTTGGTGGCAGCCTATAAGTATATCAAGGGTGTACATCAGGGCCTGGGGGAGCATCTTTTCACCAAGGTCCCCCAGGGGAGGACAAGAAATAATGGGCACAAGCTGATTGAGGATCACTTCAGGCTAGACATAAGGAAAAGCTTCTTTATAAAAGTCAAGTGGTGAGGGTTTGGAACAGGCTCCCCACCAGAGGTGGTACAGTCATCCATCCTGGCAATCTTCAAAAAGCATCCTGACGCACATCTTGCTGAGGTCATCTGATCTCAGCAGTCTTTCCTGCCCAAGTGCAGGGGGGCTGGAGCTGAAGATCTGTAAGGTCCCTTCCTGCCCCTAACAACTATGAAACTATGAAACTTTTCTAGAAAATTGCAACAATATAGCAGCGCTCAAACAGGCACCTCTTAATTCCTTCCAACCTCTGTTAAGGCACTCTTAAGTGTATGGACAGTATATAGCCAGTGCCGCCTGCTATGATGGTCAATGATCATCTATTAACTCTTAATTCAAATTGAAATTTGATTCAAAATATGTGATTCAAACTAGTTAACATGGTTTAGAAAATGCTAAGCGCATCTACAAACGGCCCTGGAGACCAGCTACATATGCAAAGTAGCTATTACACAATAAAAAGCTCTAACCAGCTATAAAGATAGACCTAAAAAATGTGTACTAACTTTATAGTTGGATGCTATCCAGCTTTAATTTTCATGGGTGACACAATCTCCCCTGTGGCTGGTAGCCCTGTCAGCTAACTAGACTCCCAGCCATGGAGGTGTACAATGCCCAGCTGGAGTTGGGAGTCCCACGACTGAGTGGCCTCTCAGCCCCAGCAGCTGCCACTGCATCCTGACAGCATGGGGACCCAGAGTCCCACAGCTGTGGACACTGGATGCATGAAACCCCTGTGGCTAAGGGATCATGGAAGCTGTGATCCCCAGCCTCAGGGGTAAATGAAATCCTCAGAGCTGGGGGATCAAGGCAGCCATGATCCCTCAACCTCAGAAATGTATGTGAAACCCCTGGGCTGGGGGATGGCTGCTACCAAAATCCCCAAGCCACAGGGGTGAATGGGCTGCCCCACAGCTGGAAACCCCTCAACTGAAGAGGCTCCCAGCTGCAGGAGCTTGCTTCTTGCCAGTGTAGGGGAAGCCCAATACCAGGCTCCCCCATCACCAGCAATAAGGCTTCATGGGAGCTAATGCATGATCCCATATCTACACCTCCTGCCATTCATGTGTGGCATGGCAGGAAGCATGATTGTGTGGACTGCACATTAGATCCTATTGCACCTTTACCTGTATGTGTAGAGACTACTTTGGTGTGTTTCCTCATCCTTTTCTGTACAGACCCACCCAGCCATCTCTGCCTCTCTGTCTGTCACTCTCTCTATTCAGCTGTCTCCCAGTCTTCTGACTCCTGAGCTAATTGTCTGTTTTCCAAAAGGGAAAGGTGTTCTCTTCTGACCATCTTCCTTAGTCTTTCCTTCACAAGAGATGCATCTTATTCCTCAATTGTCTTATAGTTAAGATAGAGTAATAGAAAACCTATTTTAAGGATAATTCTGAAGCATTCAGCTAATATACATTCTGCAGATGCCCGCTGGGCTGATCTAGGGCACCAGGATTTAAAGTGGATTTACTGATCGAAGGCAAGCAGCAGCCCGCTCCTGCTGGTATGGAGTGACTTTAATAGCAGCTGGCATTTGTAAGAAGTAATGCTGGAAATCATCTCATACAATGCGGTCCATTGACATATGCATTTGAGCCTCTTTTCCTAAGTATTTCCTTGCCTTTCTGGTTGAAGGAAATAGCACATAATATTTTTTGTTTTAAGACTGATTATAACCAAAACATGTTATTTTCTTTAAATCTGAGAGGGTATCGTTGAGGAAAATTATGAGGTATATATCCAGTCCTAGAGTTTGTTGTACTTGCTTCTAGAATTAAATAGAGAAAATAATTCAAGCATGTATTAAATGTGCATTCCTATCACAAAAAAGGTAAGACAGAGATACATTCTTACTTCTGCCACTTTAACTGGTTTGATGTTTCCTTCATATGGGCATCCCAAAGCACAAGATACATACCTACAAGAAAAATAGCAGAGACATAAATATGTGAATAGTACAGAGTTACATAATTATATATTGCATGTGTCTGTATGTTGCATATAAGAAAATCTTTCTGCAAATAGAAAGTTGTGTGCTCTAGTCAGGAAAGGCAAAATGAAGGTACCAGCAAAAAATTAAAGTTGCCTATGCTGAAGTTCTCTCTTTTTATTGTTAAATAAGTCACTTAATATCCTTATTTATGGTCAATGCATATCATAACTTACAAAGGACTGATGTTATAGTCAAATTAATGTAGCTAGATAAAACTTAACTTTTCCATATTGTTGTCATTTTAAGAAGCATCTTATCTCTCTGCTTTGCTGGCCACACAAGACAGTAGAAGGATATAAGGTGTCCCTTACTTCCTTGTGCCAGATATCTGAATTATGGATAGCTGTACTGCAAGAACAGATTTTATGTATTTATTACATTTCTTCCTACCAAAAGTACCAGTTGACATTTCTACCTCCAAACAACAGGGAAAATATGCTTGGTCATCTATCAGCATAGAAGGAAGTGCAAGGAAGGAAGACCATGAGTCACTATCACTTTGCCTTGCACAATGCTTCAAAGGTAGCACAACATGCACAAGCTACAAATGGGCCCTTGTTGAGAAATCTTAATACTGTCTCACTGTGGAGACTGTTTTGAATTTCCATTTTTATTACATAACCTGTGTTACCTTGTGATAATTTAAGCATGTAAATCATCCCAGTTAAACTTTAAATTGCCCTTCTCAGCTAAATTAATGCGAGGGATACAAGAGAGCTCACCTTTCCAGCTGTTTGTGTTTGGCTGGGGACAGTTCTCTGCAGTCTTCATATAGAGCTATAACGGCTTGAGATTTGAGGTTTGGATTTAAAGTGATCCAGTGAAACCAGTGCAAAAGACCACATGGACACTTAACTTTGTTTAAACCCAGCTTATTAGCATGTCTAAACTAAAGTAGCAGAGACTTTTTTAGTGATGTCAGTAGAGCCCCATAATAAAAACACAGTCTACGTTAAGTGAAGGAATGATCCTATTTGCTTAGCTACATCAACCTTTCAAACTCTATATAAACATGCTAAAATACTTTTCTGTCAGCATATCTGCCTCTACATCAGAAGTTATGACAGCATTATAATGGCTACAGAGTGCAATTTTTCACATTTTTAGCCAAAACAGCTATGCCAGCAAAATTGTGTAGATGCTGTCTTCTAATGGCTTTGGTTAAACTGACTTGGAATACAATTAAACTAACCAGAAACAAGCCTCTATAACACTGAAACAAAGGTCAGCACCAGGGATCCAGGTTTTCTCTGATTTAAAAAAATCCCCAATTTTCGGTTAAAAAAAAGTAAACCCAAATCCACATTTTTCTGTGATTTAAACGAAACACTGCAAATATATAGATTTATAGTGTTTCATTTTAATCCTGGAAAAATGTGGATTTGGGTTTACTTCTTCTTTTTAACTGAAAATTGGGGTTGTTTTTTTTAAATCAGAGAAAAGTACAATCCCTGGTTACCACATAAGTCTTCACACTAGTTCAATGAAACCAGGTTAAAGAGATGCTAGTTTGTGTGTATTCAAGGCTATATAGTAATGGATGTATTGTTCTCTTAAAACATAAAGAGAATATGATTGATTCAAAACAACAGGTGCCAGATGATTGGCAACAGGTGCCAATGTGGTCCCCATCTTTAAGAAAGGGAGGAGGGAGGACCTGGGCAACTATAGGCCCGTCAGTCTTACCTCAATCCTGAGGAAACTCTTTGAGAAGATCATCAAGGAACACATCTGTGATGGGCCGGCATCGGGGATGATGCTCAAGGGCAACAAGCACGGTTTCATTAGGGGCAGGTCATGTCAGACCAACCTGACTGCCTTTTACGATCAGGTCACAAAAGCACTGGATGCAGGTGTCGCCATGGATGTAGTCTTTCTGGACTTCAGCAAGGCCTTTGACACTGTCTCCCACCCCATCCTCATTAAAAAACTAGGCAACTGTGGCATCAAGGTCTACATGGTCAGATGGATTGCTAATTGGCTGAAGGGTCGTACTCAGAGGGTGGTGGTGGACGGGTCATATTCGACCTGGGGGGAAGTGGGCAGCGGAGTCCCCCAGGGCTCGGTCCTTGGGCCCGCACTGTTCAATTTCTTTATCAG